ACTACTTGTTTTCGAGACAAATTATTCGAATCAGAAAAGATAATAAGGTCACAATGCTGCAAATATCCACAGTTTACACTCATTTGGCCTGTCCCTTACTGAGTACAGCAGTTATCACCTTGACGTAGTTCGTGCTTAAAGGTTACTAATACACGTAAAATTGAATCTATGAAGGTCAAGACAGTTTTAATTTGAATGAGTTTGTTACCTGGTTCAGTGTAATATCTGGCATATATTTATATATATTTTTTATATATTTTATATAAAAAAGAATGGCACAAGAATCCAAAGTGGTCATTGTCCTGCTGCCTGGCCTTACTATTGCCTCTTAATAATTTACAGAAAGAGATAGGTGGACTAGCTGGGATGAACATACTGAGGCAACAACTGCAAACAGGCCGAATTGAGATGCCATCGACTGCTAATACAGTAAGGGCCAGAGGGACAGTTGATATTACTCTTGAAGATCGTGATGTTGATTGCAAAAAAGAAGAAGAGACTACAACGAGATCAGGATTAAACAAGGCATTCTTACATTACACAAGGCGGCATTCATAAGCTGCCAGGTGGGACACAAGACAGTTATCATGAGCTGCCAAGAGGGACACAAGACAGTATTAATGAGCTGCCAAGTAAGACACAAGACAGTATTTATGAGCTGCCAAGTGGGACACAAGACAGTATTCACGAGCTTCCAAGTGGGACACAAAACACCAAATTCTAAGTAAATAAATGGTTTTCAGTTTAACTTCAGTTTAGGCAATGTGGGGTGTACTACTACTAGAGTGTACATGAAAATGAAAAAATGAACAGGATTTCAATTTTCTCTTCACAAATCTTTTTTGCTCTGGTCAAGGAGGATGAAAAGAAATTAACTGACATTATGTAGAGTAAAGTAGGGTGCAGTATAAATTATTTATCTATGTTAAATAAGTATGGATAATCGCTCATATTAGCTCAGCTTTGGCCTTATGCTTAGGAAATCACGTGCTCTTGATCCATAGAAAAGCACTCTATACACTTGAAAGACTCACTAATTTCATACATTTGAAATTTTTAGAATAATTTTTAGGCTTGCACTGTGCCACAGTGACAATGGTTGTCCACATCTCACCAGTTTGTAGCATTTCATCATCAAGCCTACAAGCAAGCTCTCCATTAGGGGATATCATGAAAAGTACACAAGTGAGTGGCACGTGAGGGGAGACGCGTACCACGCTCACATGGCTCTCTTCTCTGGTCCAAATGGAGAGCTTGCTCGCAGGCTTAGTATTTATCATCATGCAGTTGAATTTAAAGGTCTTTAAAGTTCACATTAAAGATAGTTTCTATTAATACCTTGTTAACTTAACCTCACAGAGGTCAAATGTCTGAAGCGTTTCTCGTCTTATTTAGCAAAATTGTATTTACCTTTAATTGGAAACATGGACAAGGACAGATAAAAAAATAAAGTGAATGCAACCATCTTTTTCTCAAAATCATGATTTTTCCTCTGATCAAAATGTTTTGCGTTCGAACAATGTTATGTTTCATATGTGACATTCTGCAGTTGAGTTTTCTCTGAAAAAGACCCTTTCAAAGGTTATATAACAGCGAACAGTATATTGAGCCCATTTTGCATTTAATTAGCTCATCTGACGTATTTACAATACTTCAAAAATACTACTGACTGGTATGATATGCTAGTCATGACTAACACATACCATTGCATCTAACAGGGATGTATTACATTATGTGCAATAAAACGTTTTTTCCTAAAAGTTGGCCCGAAATTCTTTAAAAGTTGCCCAAGTTGCTCGACTTTTCTAAAAAGTTGCTTCTTTAGTAAAATCAAAATGACAGCCACAATGAAATACAATTATTATAATGAAACTAACGGCGGATGACATTTAAATGTATAGCAACTGTGTAATGTTATTTTTTTTCATACAGAATCAGAGCACTATACCTTATCAC